GCGGGCTCGGGCCGGGCGGGCGCAAAGCGGGGCAGGGCCGCTGACCCGTGGCCCCCGCAGACCTTCTCAGGCGGCTACGTGCACGTGCTGAAGGGGGTGCTCTCTGAGGACCTGCTCTTCCAGAGCTTCGAGAAGATGGGCTACGTGCGCCAGGATGACCACCGCCTCATGATGGCCACCCCGCCGCCTGCCGGCCAGCTGGTGCAGGTGGCCCTGGGCTGCTTCGCCCTGCGGCTGGAGTGCGACATCCTGGAGGAGGTGCTGGCGCGACTGGGCACCAGCGTGCTGCCGGCCGAGGAGCTGCTGCAGGCCCGCCGCTCCAGCGCAGACGTGGCCTCCTGTGTGGCCTGGCTGAGGCGGCGGCTGGCCGGCGACAAGGAGCCGCCGCCCCTGCCGCCCCGGGACCCGCTGGCTGTGTACCGGGCCCCCCTGGACCTGTACCGAGACCTGCAGGAGGACGAGGGCCTGGAGGAGGCCAGCCTGTACAGTGGGCCCTCACCCGGCCCAGACTCGCCCCCCTCAGCACTAGCCTACCAGCCTCAGCTGTGGGAGCAGAGCGCCAAGTTGTGGGGTGCCAGTGGTGGGGCCTGGGACCCAGAGGCTGAGGCCGGGGGGTCACCCAGGGGCAGCAGCCCACCCTACGGGGCACTGGAAGACGAGCTGGAGCCCGAGCCCGAAGTGTTCTCCTTCCTCTCGCTGCGCAGGGAGCTGGCCACCCCCCAGCCCCCCGGGAGCCCCGAGAGGGCCAGCCCACAGGGCACACACAGGACCCTGTCTGGGGCCGCCCACGAGCCCCCCGACTACCAGGTCCACAGCTGCCTGGCCCCTGGCGCCCTGCCCACCCTCTGCTGCGACACGTGTGGCCAGCTGCATGCCGCCCACTGTGTCGCCCTGGCCACCTGCCGCCCCAGCCACGCACTGCGGGCTCTGCTCAGCCGCGCCCAGCAGCGGCGGTGGGCACAGGCCGAGGACACCCTGCTCTATGACGGGCCGGGGGCCAAGCCTTAGCCCGCAGGTCGGGCCCAGGCTCTCCATGGTGCTTCTCGGGCCTCACCCCGCTCCAGCCTGGCCCTGGCGTACCCCACCCGAGGAGCCCTGGGCAAGGGGGCACCCAGCCCGCAGAGAGAGGTGGCTCACCTTCTATTGGCCTCAAGCTCATCCCTGTCCCCAGCACCCAGCCCTGCCGGACTCCTGCCCCCCGAGCCTGGCTCCCCACAAGGACTCTTGGGGTCAGCCGGGGCTCCCATCCTGCTCCTGCAGGTGTGGGCTGGGGCGCGCCATCTCCTGCTGGTCCTGTGGGGGGCGCTGCTCGAGGGGGCCCACCCATCCCCCACAGGGCAGGCTGGCCAGAGACGGGTGCTAGGGCTACGTGAGGAGCCCCCCTTGGGGACGCATTCTCTCAGCAGCATCTTGCAGGAGCCCTGGGGCTCGCAGGCGCCACCCACTCCGCCTCCACACACCCCCGAGGCCAACGGGGACGCAGTGCCGGGTGCTGAGCAGCCCTGGGGCTGAGCCCTGAGGCCAGGCAGCAGCAGCCACAGCCGTTCCCAGCGGAGCCCACCAGGCCATCGGACGGCAAGGCGGTCTGCCCGGGAGGCCACCTCCAGGCCCTCCTTCATGACCGCAGTGTACCCCCGCCCCCTCGGAGAGCCCCTCACAAGAGCGCTTCAGGCCCATTAAAGGACAGTGAACCCGCACGCGTCAGCACGGTCTTTATCTGTGGTGCTCCCCTCCAGGGCCCGGGGCAGACGGCCTCCAGCCAGTCACGGGCCCTGGGGTGCGGCCTGCCCTGCCCTGGCTGGACCCCTGGCGCCCCTCAGGTCACAAGCGCCCTGCAGTCTGCTGACCCGTCAGCCACACCCACGGAGACGAGCCTTCGGGGCCGCCCGTGGGCGGGGGCAGCAGGCCCTGGCAGGCCCCAGTTCCTTCTGGGAACCGGCCCGAGGCCGCACCCCGTATCCCCAGACGCAGGTCCTTTCTGGAGAGCAGGAGCTCCGCCGGTGGTGTCCAGTCTTTGGCGACCGCGTCAGGCTCAGGGCTTGCGCTTGCTCTGGGGCTCCACACCTGAGGACGTGGCGGGGGCCGCCCGCTTGTTGCGGTGGTGGGGGAAGGTGGGCATGAGCTCCGGCTCGCAAGCTGTGGGGAGGGGCTGCTCAGGGCTCGGGGGCCTCCTGGGGGTGGCAGGAGCCCCACTGTGGCAGGAGCTCGGGCCTGAACCCCGCCCCGCATCTCCGCCCCCCAGCCCTCCACTTCGTGGGTGGCTCACTGGACCCAGCATGCCCCCGGCCTTCAGCCCCCGAGGGCCGCCGGAGGCCGGCCCCCCACCAGGCCGGCCCCCCGCGCCGGAGGCAGACTCACGCAGGGGCTTCTCCTTGAAGTAGGAGCTCTCCAGGCCGTCCCCAGCCGTCGCCCTGCGTGAGAGCCGCGTCAGGGGCCTGGCACTAGCCTCGGGGCGGCTCCGAGGCACCCCGCACGGTCACCACCATCGCTGAGGCCCGCACCTTTTCTTGGGGTCGTACATGAAGAGGAAGTGCAGCAGCCGCAGACCGGCCTCCGAGAGCCACGGGAACTTGTGCTTCAGGTTGTTGTAGGGCTGCTTGCGCAGGCTGTACTGGCCGGCCAGGGGCAGCGCCGAGAAGCCCTGCGGGGAGGGACCCTGAGGCCACGGCGGGGCGCGTGGCGGGCGAGGCGGGCTGCCACTCACCGGCCAGATGTTCTCGCTGGGCGTCCCCAGCAGCTGCACGATCAGGTCCACCTGGTGGAGCTCCGAGGTGCCGGGCAGGAGGGGCTTGTGGGCCAGCAGCTCCGCCAGGATGCAGCCCAGGGCCCTACAGCAGAGCCAGGATGCCTCGCGCCCGGCCGCGCCCAGGGAGCGGGAGCCCCCTGCCCCAGCCTCCACACGCCTCACCACATGTCGATGCTGGGAGTCTGCGTGGTGGTGCCCAGCAGCAGCTCAGGGGCCCGGTACCTGCACGCAGATGCACCATGGGCCCTGCCCTGCTCCAGCTGACCCCGCCCCAGCCCCCCCACCTCTCCCCGACAGGACGGCAGGACGGCCCCACCAGCTGGGCCCAGGCACAGCAGCTCCGGGCCGCTCTCCCCCAAGGCAGCATGCAGCCCGGGGCCCACCCTGCCTGAGGGACGGAGGCGATGACGCCACACCCTGTGCTGTGCAGGGCCTCCCGCTCGGCCTGGGCAAGCTGCCCGGAGACCCAGGCCCCTCCCCTGCTCCCGCGCACCTGCCAAGGCCCTCACCAGAGTGTGACCACCTTGGGCGTCATGGGCTTCACAGGGACGCCATACGCCCGCGCCAGGCCAAAATCCGCTGCAATGGGGCAGAACAGCAGGGAGCATGAGCCACGCCTGGGGGCGCCCACGGGGGGGGGGGGGCCAAGCCCCAAGGCAGCGCTTCACTCACCTGTCTTCACGCAGCCCTTGTCTGTCAGGAGCAAGTTGGAGACCTTCAGATCCCTAGAGAAAGAGTGTGGAGGTCCGCGGACAGCCCCCCACTCCTCAGATCGGCATGGGGCCGCGGGCGCCGCTGCCCGGACACCCACCCCGGGCCGGCGCCTGGCCGCGGCCTGGGCCTGCCGAGGGACAGCGGGCTGCGGCCTGGCCCACCTGTGGATGATGAAGTTCCGGTGCAGGTACTGGAGGCCCCGCAGCACCTGCAGCACAATGCACTTCACCTGGAGGGGAAGGGCGGTCAGCGCGGGGGCGCCTCGGGCACCCGCGAAACGGGGTTCAGGGCCCGACCCAGGCCCCACCTGGGCCTCTGAGAAGGGCGTCGGCATGTTCTCCAGGAGGCTGGCCAGGTCCTGCTCGCAGTAGCCCATCACCAGGAAGATGCTGTGGGGAGGGGCGTTGCGCTACGGCCGGCCCAGCCGCCCTGCTGCCCGGCCGCGCCCGGCAGCCCGGCCTCACCTCTCCAGGTGGTTCCCCACGACCACGTCCTTCAGCTCCACGATGTTGGGGTGGCGCAGGCGCAGCAGCAGCGTGATCTCGCGCAGGCTGCTGATGGGGACGCCTGCAACCGACAGCGGGGCTCGCCCCACGCCCCGCCTGCCGGCCTCCGGCTGGGCCGAGGGCAGGGGGCGCCCGCACTGGCGGTCTGGGGGGCCTGGGGCTCGCTGGCCGGGGCTGGCGGGCAGGTGCGGCCGGGAGCCCAGGGTGGGGTGCGGGGGGGCAGGGGCCCCTCGGCCCCAGGGACACGCCCCGGAGGCTCGGCCACAGCTCACCGTCCTTCTCCGTGTCCATCCGCACTTTCTTCAGGGCGACAATCTCATCTGTCTGGGTGTCTCGGGCCCGGTCTGGAAGAGGCACACCCAGTGCCCTGGCGTCTACACCCGCGGGCCCCGCCCCGGGCGCTGGGCGCCCTCCCTGGGGGTGACATCCCGGCCGCCAGACACGCTCCTGGGGGCTCGACCGGGCCTCTGCTGCTGGCGCCGCTCTGCTGCCCAAACAGCACACGGCGGGCTCCGGCCGGGGCGGGGCGCGGCACCCCAGCGAGCCCACGGCCACCCGGTCATGCCTCCGCCCCACAACCCGCAGACGGCCCCGGCCCAAGTGCCCGCCCGGGCTGCACGGGGCGGCCCAGCGCCCCTCACTCACACACGATGCCGTAGGTGCCCTCCCCGATGCGGTTCAGCTTCTCAAACTCCTTCACGCTCCGGCACCGCCCCAACTGCGAGACACGCCAAGTGGGGGCCGGGCAGCCGGCCAGGGCGGCCTTGACCGCATGCCGCTCGCCCCCAGAAGGCAGCAGTGTGGGGCCTTGCGGGCGTGGGGCGCTGGCGGGGTGAACGCTGGAGACGGCGCCCAGGTGGCAGCCGCCAGCCGGGCGCGTGAGTCGCTCAAAGCACGAGACCATTTGGGCCAGCGGCAGGCCCAGCGCGGCCCAGGCGATGCCAGGTGGCCATGGGACAGGCAGGACACATGCTCACGGGACACGCTGCGGCTCGCGCTGGCCGCACCCGGGGCAGGCCCGTGAGCACAGGGTCCCAGCATCACACCCTCCTCCCCTGGGAACCCGCCAGAGACCGCAGCCGCCCCGCGGGGGTGGATTTCCCAGCTCCCCGCGGCGGGGCAACACGTGACCAAGTTCCGGCAGCAGACTGTGAGCGGGACACGGTGACTTCCTGCCCCAAGGAAGTGCCCCAAGGCTGGCTGGGACCTGTGGGCAGGCCGGGCAGGAGAGGGCTGCCCGGTGTGCCGCTGCCCACGAGGAGTAAGGAGAGGGGGCCAATGCCAGGGCTTGAAAGGGCCCCTGCACCTGGTCTCTGTCCGAGAGGCCTGACCCTAGCACGCTTTCACAGACTGGGTACGTAGGTCGCCGAACACCCACTTCTCAGGTTCAAGACCCGCCTGGGCAAGTCCCAAATTCCTACAGCCCCGTTCAGCCCCTTCCAAACGCCAGGGAGCCAGGCGCCCTGCGCAGACGAAGTTTCCCACGGCCTCCCAACAACCCGTCCCCACCCAAGACCCTTCCCTGCCCAGGCCAGCGCCCTGTGTCCCCATTCCCGCTCTGCCCTCTGGTCCTGCCCCACTGACCGCCGGGCTGCAGGACAGAATCCCAGCCGCGCCTGGCCACCAAACAGGCACCCCTTCCTCATTCTTCTGCCTGCCAAGGCGACAAGGCCTCCTCTGAGCAACCTGACACTGTGCTGTGGAAGGCCGCCCTGCGGGTGCCCTCAGCTCCTCAGGCCCACGCGCACCTGCTGCCCGCGGGTGGACAGCAAGCAGCGGGCAGCGCAGCACTCCCAGTGGCCAGCGACCTTGCTGCGGCGCTGACCAGTCTCGGTCGGCCCAACA